TCTTTTTATTTCTAAATTGGTCTAAAGGATTTTTTTTTTTTTTGCCAGTTCAAAAACTTTGTTTATTAGTGTTGTGGGGTAGCCTCGTTTTTTTAAGAGTTTTATGTAGTTCTTCTAGGCGAGATTTTCGGAGGTGTTTTCGGAGGTGTTTACAGAAATATAATCGCTCAACTTCATGCCAATAGAAAACTTGAGAGCAAGAAGGCGAAAAGTCTTGCTCTCATGGAGGTTAGCATCAGCCATGCTGATGGAGTGTTCGCTATGATTATTAATGGATTGCGAAAGTTTAGAAGCCATGGCAATTGATTGGAAGTCATTTTCGAGAGCTGCAGTCAGTTTTACTTTGGCGTATCTATCGGGATTAACTCGAGAGCCCATTCTGCCATTTAACCCATAGAACGTGGAGAGGAGAGAACAGACAGATTCATGCCTTTCTGAAAGGCATAGTGCAGAAAAGAAATCAACAGATCATCTCAGATAGATATACAGATTTGAAGAAATCAGATAGACAATATAAACAGAATCAATGTTTTGATAACATGTCACTTCAAGACATAGGCAATCATGGCTCTCCACTTTTCATTATTATCTCCAGGTTTCCTCTTTTTTAAACGTATTCACCGTTCTCTTGACGGTTCTTGAACGAACTTTGAAGATGGAAGCCAAAACATGAATCTTGGTACCATTAATGAAGTGATTAATAAACTTTTTTCCTCTCACCATTGCTCATTTGGGAAGAGAGTGGATCTGATACAAAACAATTTTATGTTGTTCTCTTTCTATCCGAATAACTGAAAGTGTTTTTCAGTGATTCTTACAACAAATAGCATCAAGCTGGATAAATGTGGATATATATATATTATGGCATTAAAGGGAAGAATTTTTTTTACTATAGGCCATGATAAATTTTAAAACAAAAACACAAACACAAGTCGACCGATTTCGTCCCCTCTCATCAGAACTGTAAACGGGAAAGCAAATTATGAGAAGAAAGTCTTTTGCGGATTATGTGAATGAATGGACAGGGAAAAATATAATAATAAAAGTTATAACACCAAAAATGCTAGAGACACAGCACCGCAAGCCAAAGCAAACAGTCTCTTTGCTTACAAAGAGCGGGTCGCCTGGACCTGATGAACAGCGTCTCCAACACCTTCAGATGGAATAACTAGTGTGCTCTGGCCAGAACAGAGAACCAGCTCACAATAAAATCGATAGCAAAGGTCAAGTTATTTATCAAGTGATCCGCTATGGAAGACCCGTATGTATTTCGAATGGTATCACCAAACAAAAAAAAATTGTTGAGTATTTTAGCAGGCACGTGCTGTTTAATCCTAACATCTAAACTCTGTGTCGTTCTACCTATGTAGTCGAGTCCACAACTACATTTAAAATAATAAATAACGGAATTAATATGGTCGGGGGGTAGAACGTCTTTACACACAGATGAAAGGACAGACTTGGTTTGAAAAACAACACGAACGTTGGCTGCATAATAACACTCACGGGTACGAAATGAAATCCGCTTGGTGAAGGACTCACTAATCCTACCCAACCACGGTAAAACGAAGATAGACCGGACATTTACCAGCCATAGCAAGTTTAATTTTATTAAACCTGGCAGTCTTATCCCAAATAACCAATTGAACAATATCCAATGGATAACCATTGTTCCCAAGGATACTAAAACAAATAATTTCCTTTTCAAGGTGTTATCTGAACAAATGATTAACGCCCTATGGGTCAAAGTGTTAATCAAATTGATCTTTTGTTGTTTAGGACAAAAAGAGTCCCATCGATTATAGAGACCTGTAAAAGTAGACTCCCTATACATTGAAGTAATAAACGAGGAAGGAGTTCTGTGAACAAGAACATCTAAGAAGGGCAATGAACCATTGACCTCCTTAACTACCGTAAATTTAAGGGCAGGATGAACACCGTTGAGTAGAGAGAAAAATTGATCAACTTACGATTCATGGTTAAACAAACAAAAAGTGTCATCCACATAACGGAATTAAACCTTGAGCTGGGAAGAACCTAAAAGAAGGCTTTCTTCGTAAAATCCCACAAAAATATTCGCCAAAACAGGGCCCAAAGGGGAACCCATCGCCACACCATCAATCTAACGATACATGATATTATCAAAACTAAAATCGACAGACATGGTGGCAAATTTCATGAGTTCAACAAAACATCTTCAGGTATAGTCAGAGGGGTTAAATTACTACGAAATAACAAATCACTACAAATATCAATAGTCTGCGATAAAGGAACACAAGAGGCACAAATGTCAAACGAACACATAAATCCATCAGTGGCATTACAATTCCGAATAAAAAAAAAGTAAAAGAATCTTTAATACAAAAGGAACTATAATGCAACACTTTAACATTATAGCCAGCCACTTTGCGACTTTTTATACTGGGAAGACCCAATCATCGATAATATGGGTCTCAACGGGACACCCTCCTTATGAATCTTGGGTAATCCATACAGACGGGGATGAATAGAGCAAGACGGTCTCAATTCCTCCGCCATTTTAGAAGAAAGAAAACCACTTTTACCCATTTGACAAAACGTTTATGAAATCGAATTTCAGAAGTCAGTGGGGAGTCATGAGCGTCACCAACCAAGACGTTGAAACTTGAAGGGTCATTACATACTTAGTATTTTATTAATGTAATCATGGCGGTCCATGAGGACAACACCAGATCCCTTATCCGGTTTCGTAATAACCAAAGAATGGTTATTCTTAACGGATCTAATAACTCTATGGCCTTCACTTTTCCATTTCGATTCAGAGAAAGAAATAGGAGAACTAGCATAAGAATGAGCCAAATCATTAAATTTGGCTCGGAAGTCGATGGATTTATCACCAGACACAGGTTGAAGCTTCGATAGTTGAACATAAAATACTTCAAATTCAGAAAAAAAAAAACTCCCTATCGATAGAAGTAAAAGGAATGCTAAAGTCTAGGCCGTGAGTCAAGATAGCAAGCTCAATCTCTGAAGGAGAATAAGAACAAATTAACTACATTTTTTGTAGCATTTGGTTCAATAGTAGAGCCAAATCCCTTGGAGATAAGATGTTTTAACTTACTCTGAAAACTGCTAGACATCTTAAAACTGCAGCGGCCAGATATCAGACCTACATAACGGGCAAAACGTATCCTATCAAAATATCATAAATAATTACATGCCCCACGCCACAACAGATTATATCTTCTTTGTACGACCAAATCCTGGTTAGAAAATTGTAAGAGAAAGTCCTTAATAAAGGCTCTCTCTATCCTCCAACCAGACAACAACTTTGCCCGCCTAATCCGAAAGGAAAAGTCGGACAGACCTGGTGCTGAAGACAAGAATATAAAAAAGTTGTCTTCACCTTCAATGTTTCAATTTTAGACCTAATCTGTAAAATTTTATTCAATTTTCTAATTAAATCAGGAGTACCTTTTCTTAAAATATTTAAATATGTTTTTAACGGTACAAAAACGTATTATGGCATTAAAGGCAAGAATTTTTTTTAATGTAGGCCATGATAAATTTTAAAACAAAAACACGAACACAAGTCGACCGGTTTCGTCCCCTCTGTTCAGAAATGTAAACGGGGAAACAAAGCATGAGGCTGTCGCGGATGACGTGAATGAATGGACAGGGAAAGACTTTCTTCTTATAATTTGTTTCTCATCAATAAACAAGCGTCAAACATATAATAAAAAACTTTTATAAAATCCATGCTTAACCAGATCAAACTACCTACAACCACAACCGTTGTAAGCTAATTTTTTTCTCTTCTACACAAAACATCCACCAATCAAGATAGGAAAAATGCCAGACAGAAATAAATATGACCACTAGACGCACAAATGCGCGCACATATTATCAACTGCACCGAGCAGTGTTTTTATTTAATAACTTCTTAAGAACACTGGGTTATAAATTTGACTGTTTCTTCCTTATTATATATATATATATATATATATATATATATATATATATATATATATATATATATATATTTATATCTTAAATTTTAACTGTTTGAGATGTACTTTTTGTGTTATTTTGAATACTAGTAGGAGCGTTTATTCTGAGCCTTCTCGTGTTGAGGGGACTGGAATTCAAGTGAACGTCTTTCTTTAAAAAAGAAATCAGCACATGACTCCCATTGTTAAACAAGGTAAGTTTGATAGTTGGACAGAGAGGTTAAAAATAGAGAGCCCCTCTTACGCACACACACACATATATATATATATATATATATATGTGTGTGTGTGTGTATTACAGTAGGTTTCAGCCTTTAGTGGTCAGAGAAACATCCTCTTGAGGGACGTTTTCACAGAGCTATGTTTCGTTGGAAAATATATTGCAGGAGAATTCACTTCTCACCAATGGAATACGTGAGTAATGTGGGTAGTTTTTGTATTATGCAAATGACATGGGGAGGCACGACTGAGTAATGTATAGCGGCTCGAATTGAGGAGAGCCGAGTTCGAATTCCAATCGAATCCATTTCATTCACTTACGTGCTAATACCATTCGGAAAGGTATGAAACGTTTTCTTCTCCCTCCAGCTATGAGTAAATAGCAGAACAGACCGGGTTGACGACTTGGATGACAACTGGTCTAACGCAGAAAGAAAATGGCAACCTACTGCGGGAAAAAAATATGCCTGTCAGTTATGTATCTTTTCGATACATGATCGCCTACGCGTGTATCACGCATGGCACATAATTAAAGTGGCATGGCGAGTCTTAGACGTGAAGTTTAGATCGAAAATTATCAGTAGACACACGAGATAATAACAAGCTGAGTTACCTATTTGACAGAACAACAACACCTCTCTTAATCAAAACATAAAAATCGGTGTTTTCCTGGCCACACCACACTCACCTCTATAATCGTTGTGTAGAGGTAAAATGCAATCACGTGCTCATTTGCGAATCCTGCTTGTCCGCGCTAAGCAGAGTCTGGACGCTTTTACTTTGAAACCGAACTATCGACAAGTGTTTAAGACTGATTCGCCATGCCTATTATCGGCGACCGTACGCTCGTGCTTTGTGCGGATTTTAATGGCGGGCGATGGGCAGCCGGCATCGAGCGGAAATGCTATTTTCCGTGGAGAACGAAGAGCAAAAGAATGAATCGGGAGGTGTCGAGGATCTCCGGGAAAAAAAAGAATAGATAAGTGTTGAATCAATCCGTCTTCCAAGACGAGAGTCTCATTACGGTAGATATGGGAGCGGATTGAAGGGTCGATCAAAATAGATATGAATGATTTGAGAATGATATGAACTCAGTTAAGATAGATAGGTATATAAGGAACTACGTGATAGGATAGGATATGATATGATAGATGATAGATAGAGAGAGAGATAATTGAGAGTGTACATCGAATGAGATGATAATGGAAATCAATAATATATATAGAGAGAGTCATAGATAGAGAGAAGAGGACATAGATAGATAGATAGATAATCAACTGAAGGTATATATATATGTGTGTGTGTGTGTATGTATGTATGTATAGATAGATAGATATAGAAAATAATTGACATTGAAAAGGAATGAGATAATGAATTTGAATAGGATATATATATATATGAGAGTATATAGAGAGAGAGAGAGAGAGAGAGGAGTGGGAGTGTGTGTGTGAGTAATAATAGAGAGAAATGAAATGTTGATAAAATGCTTAATCGCAGTATATTGTCAGTCTTTTTTTCATGAAACTGTATATATATATATATATATATATATATATATATATATATAGATAGATAGAGAGAGAGAGAGGATTAGGGTGGACGGAATAAAGTTCCATTAATCAAAAACACTACTCTTAAAAGCGGTGGGGGTGGAGAAGAACATTTCGTTGTTTGTCGTTTAATATCAGTTTCTACTGCTGTATGTTACCATACGCCCCCTCCCCCCAAAAACAAAAGTGTATTTTTCCAAGATTCACAGAAAATAGTTTTTGTACTACAGGTGTCCAATATTAATAATAAGCGATACGGAAATTATAAACATACATACCCCCCACACACACATTCTTCCTATGTTCGTGTGTCTGATCGTAAGTACTCTCTCTTTAGTTGATCTCTCTCTCTCTATATATATATATATATATTAAAAAACTAAAGACTACTGATAGACACACACACGAACACAGTAAGAATACATGCACGGTGCGCGCGCGAGATAAAGAGAGATAAATTTTTTTGAATATACATTTTCTCTTGGAACAATCAACTATAACCTTTGCCTATATATATTTGTAATCCGCTTATTTATATATATATCCCCAATATATATACATATATATATATATATATATATATATAAAAAAAGACAAACATTAACAATTTTGATGGTATTTTGACGATTTGGGGGAATTTTGAATTTTTGATGGTATTCTTAGTTTGGGTCGTAAATATATCAATTGTTGATTATCAAGTGATATTCCATGAACTGAAAATTTGTGCTATGATAGATAAACAAATAATTCTTTCTATGCCCGCATGTATGCGTTCATGCACAAATACTTTCAATTATTCCTCCTTTCTCTCTCTTTTTCGACACAATCTCTACGAGACAAAACTCTTCTTTTGTTTTTAAAGGTATGACATCCCTAGAAGTTGGCGGCGTCAATACTTATTGTCAATGAGCTGTTGAAAACGCGGTTTAAATCGTTCCATTCATTAAACGAACGCTCATGAGGCGTACTGGATGAATGGAGCGAAGTTACAATCTCTGGAGAATCAATACACTGTTCCCGGATTTGAACTGAACAGGGTGGGGCAATTAGCAAACTGCATCTAACAGTCACAGCCTGTTTCGTGAAAAACGACCATCATTCACGCCCTAAATGATGCGTTTCGTGATTCATCGACATTGTTTTCCTCGGCGGTGAACGAACGAGTGGCAAGAAAAGCAAATGGAATCACAGGATCTTAGCTAATAGG